GAATAAAAATAATCTACTATTCGCACGTCTAGTGGATGGTAGTGACACTTATAATTTAGGTTCTCATTGTAAAGCCTTGTCCTCAGTCATGCATAATAATGCTTGTTTATTAGATTTAAAATGTTTAAGTTTATTCACTGCCAAATGAGGATATCAATGGTAACTCTGAAAGACTACAATCTAGCTTTTTTATGAAATAACAGAACAAAAATAATTCCCAGTATAAAAAAATATGGATGTGTTCTGAACAGTTTTGTGATGGAAGCAACCACAAATTAAAACTTGAAATCTGAAAGATGCCTTGAAATGTGCTGGTGAAAAAATGTTCTTGAATCAATTTGGAGACTTTGGAAAACTGCAGTTTACACACAAACAATATATTTTTGAGTAATATTAATCCAAACCAGAATCATATAGCATTCTGAGCAAGTATTCTTTGCTTACCTATCTTGTAAGGTAGTAAAATGTACTGAGGGCTAGTTGCAAATGTGGTAGGCAAGGTGCAGTAAATAGGAACCAATAACACTGAAATGCAGAGATATGTGCAAGACCATGGCTTAAATAGTGGATTAAATAGTTTTAAGCATAAGTAAAGAAAAATAAAAAATGGAGCAAAAGTGGAAAACTTCAGACTCTTTATGTATGTAAGTTGACCATGCATAGAACCACAGCTATTCTTTCAATCTTTTGGGTAGTATTGTTCCTTTTTCAAGGATTCTGGGTGTTATGTACATAACATATGGGCTAAGTACAGACAGTCAAAAAGCCTGAATCTATTCAATCTTTGTGGATTAGTCTAAACTGCATAGATTGAACTGCTAAGCAAGTCAATAGACATTTACTTTTGATTCTGGAAATGCAGCCACATGCCTGCAGTAGCTCAGGCTAGAATTTGGGGGGCATTCGACATGCCTCCCTGCTGGGCTGAAGCAGACAGCTTGGGCTAAAGTTAACCCCCCCACACTGTAAGGTGTGGAGTGGTTTGCAGGGGAGGTACAAAGTTGGGATGCTGGGGGATTGAGTTACCTTGAAACTGGAGAGGAACTGGGACAGAAGTTCAAAAAACCTATTTAACTTAAATCAGTTAAGTCTGATACTACATCCATCCATGTTTATCTTAAAATTGGTTTCGGCCATTTTGAAGCAGTTTATGTGCACTGAACTTTTGTTGTGTTGATTTGAACAGATTTGAACTGAGTTCTGATCACTTATATCTGTTTATGTATAATGTCTGCCCCTAGCCATACAGGCTGAAGTATACAGTTACTGACTTGGGCCTGCTCAACAACTTTGATGGGCTGGACTAAACATTAATGCAAAGAATTGAGTTAAAACTGAATCCTAAGTTGCAGTTCCAGTCTTATCACAAAATATCCTAGCAAAGTCTTTGATCTAAAGAGGCTCATTGTTAAAGGCTTCTGGAAACATAAGTAAGTGTGTAATGTGGACACATAATTTATCCGATAATTTATCAAGACCCGTAAAACTTCATATTTTGAGCCCCTGAAAATGTATCCTCTTAAGGAGGATTAAAAAATAACATACTTCAGCTACATGTAGAATTTATAGCAACATGTACACATCTGTTTTTAGTTAAGCTTTTAATAATTAACTTGCCCCCTATCAGCTCTCAAGCAGGAGAAATAACAAATGGATGTGTTTTGCAAGGGCTAACTGTTAAATTTGGGACTCTGCCCCCACTCCACCCACATCCCTAGAGACTACTCTTATTCTCAGCAACATACATTAGTGCAAATGCTTAAGAATACTATTTAAATGCCTGAAGATGTGTGCACCCCAAAAATAGTGTGCTATTGGAACCTGCTATTCAAATGTTATACACTTTGTAAATGAGCACATGTTAATGAAGCTGTTGGCAGTCACTTTGCAAAATTTCTGAGAGCTGAAAAACTAGCTTTTAAGTTTTTAATTGCCTCCATGGAAGGCTAGGGACCATGGAAGCACAGTTGTAACACCCTTTCTCATTAAGAGAGGGCAGTGAAGGTGCTTCATGAAGCCTGACCAGCAGTGACTTCAAGGAAGACTTGCCTTCTCCTTGCTTCCTTCTGTAGAGGCTGACATCAGTAATGCTATTAATGCATTGTTCCTTATCAGGGAGAGAGGAGGAGCAAGATTAGGAGCCACTGATTGTGCCCATCCCTCTGCCTCTATTTTGAATTCATGCTGGGAGAAGACACAAACTAGCCTTAAGCATGCTAGGCAGGAAGCGCAAAAATACCTCACAAGTTAAAGACCTGTATCTTCTGCCTTTTATGTGTGTGTATACAGTGCATATACAACTCCTGTTGATTTCAATGGGAACCATATGTGCGCACTCAATGGCAGAATATGGAGCTAAGACTCTTTCTTTGATTCTTTGCCATACAGCAACTCTGTTTTATAATATATAAGAGAAATTCCACTTGTTAGTAATGTAGAGGTCAGGGAGAAGTTGGCTGATATAAAGTTGGAAATTAGTTGTGAACTTGTTCTTCCCATGAGTGACCCACATCAGACGTGAAACTTGAAGCCAGTTATTATAATACCTCTTGAGAACAATGGAGAATTTCAGATGAGGAATTTAGCAAGTCAGTAGCACTGCAGAGTTCTGAAGAAAAGATTTTTTTAAAATTCCAACTTTCTCATAAGGGAAATATGGATGGAAAAGGGTGATACTTCTAGGCAAATTCAAGAGCTTTGATTATGAGTTTGGTCTCAGGCATTTCCAGGTCAGATACTTATTCTAACTGGTGCTTGTCTGAACCTTTGAGACCTTATCCTAGGGCCTAAAGGTCACCTTTTGCATTTACCCACTCCTTTCTTTTTCCCCCTCTCTGGCCCTTTTGTTGGGGATGCTTAGTGGCTTGTTCATTTGTCTGTTTAGGGTGTGTGTTGCAGACCACTGGATGGGAGACAGGGACGAAGAAGGTTCATGGAGGTGGTAGAAAGAATCCTGGAAAATTTCAAACTTTTTTGAATAAAAATTATCGTTTTTTATGTTCATTTACAGAAAAAATGGATTCCTTTTCCATGAAACAATCAGTAGGTCTCTATCTTACAAACATTTTTGTAAAAACAAAACTGTTTCAATTTTTAAAAATTACATAACTTTTGTAAGAAATGAAAGAACTAAAAACCAGTTGCTTTTCACATTTTTTTTTCTTTTGGAAAAAAATCTATATTTCATTTTAAAAATAAAATTGAATACAAAAACCTGCCCAGTTACAGTGTAAGAAGGAGTGAACTAAACAGGTATATTGATGAATGAGACAAAAAATAGAGAACAGAATGTAAGAGGTTCTGGCTGTAACCTGAACTACCAGGTGGTGCTTTCTATTTAGTGACTAGTCATTGCTAGAGACCTACTTAAATTGCAGTGAGACTAAACAATTTTCAGGGGTTGGTCGTAGCATAAAGAGCAAGTTTCATGGATATTTCTTGCATGTGCTTCTCTGGCCCTGCCCTTCACTGCTGATTGGCAGAGAGGCCCTGGTGGGGGGAGGAGGGATGAGAGGTGGCCACTAGGGCTGTGCGAAGCTTCAGTTGCTGATTAAATTTGGAGGAGATTCAGCCCAATTTGACGGCCAAACCTCCAAATCCGAAAAGAATTGTGAAACCAATAAAAAAAAATTCTGAATTGATTCTAAGCCTCCAATTGGATTCAGAGAAGGTTTGGAGATTTGAGCAGTCCCAGCTTGCTGCTGCAGGGAGCTGGACCTGAGCTCCATGCCAGTAAGTTGCAGATGAGGGGGGTGGTCTGGAGGAGTGGGAGGGGACCGGGGGGAGCCCCTGACTGCTCCCCCAGACCTCCTCAGTGCCCCCTCCTACTCTTCCAGCCCCCACCCACTCTCCCAGCCCCATCAATGGCTGCCCTGCCTGGCCCCAGCATCCTGACACTTAAGGGCAAAACAAAAAACCCCACACTCTGCAGCTGCTGCGGTAGTTGTCAGGGCCTCTGGGGGTTCATGGTAGAGCCCCACCATGCAGTGGGGGGGCAGCAAGGATTGCCCTCTGCCTGGCAGGAACCGGTGAGTGCAGGGCTTCTTATTATTTATTTATTTATTTATTTATTTATTTTTAAATGCTGGGGCCAGGCAGGGCAGCCATTGACAGGGCTGGGAGAGTGGGCAGGGGATGGGGCCTGTTTGATTCGGATATTTGGCCGATTCGGTGGTGGCTGAATAACCGAATCAGATTCGGCCGAATCAATTAAGGACAGTAATTCGAACCACTGAATCAAATCACTGCCTCCTGAATTTGTTGACTCTGAAGCAAATACTAGCCACTTCACATGGGCCTAGTGGCCATCATTCTTGTATGCTACTCTTCATGCTGCCTCAAAATTCAGTGCTTCTCCACCCCACTCCACCCCGAGGTGGACTGCAAGGCTGGGTCACAGCAGCAACGACTGCTGCTTCCCACTGGGGATCCAACATTTTATTTTTAGGTTTGTTTGGTTTTTTTTAAGTTGATTTTGTGGCTTCCGCAAATTGCGAATCGAGTCAACCCCTAATCATTACAATGTATTTAGGCATGGATTAATTTTTTTATGACATAATAACAACAACAAATTACCTGCAGATGTGCTACAAATACTTTGGGCCAATGTCTGCCACCTGAGCTCTCAATTAATTGTACTTTACTGTGCGACTAGACTTATTTGTTCCTCTGTGACTACTAACAGAGTAAGGGCTGATGTAGTAAATGATTATGTAAGCAACTCTCCCTATTGTCAACTGTGTGAATAAAGTCTAAGACCTGGGTGACAAAACTAGAATCCTGTCATTTATTTATGATGCTCTGTTGTTGTCAAAAAGTTAAAAGTTAGAGGTGCACACGGCACCTCTGAAAACATTACTTTGAACATTACTTTGTCTGAAATTTGAACGCATGTAATGTTCTAAAACTTGGGCATCTAGGTTATTTTGATATTACATATCCAGACTAAGTTCAGCTGAAAGATTAGTTCAGCTATGATGATGTTCATTTTTTCTACTGACCTTTGTACTGGTTGTTTCCTTCTTCCATTATAGGAAGAAAATTACTAGGAGCCATTTTCCAACCTTCCTCTTCTTCCTGAACAAAGAAAATATAGAATGTTATTTAATTAATTACTGAATATAAAGTATTTATTAAAAAAAAGCTGGTGTCAAGTGCAGTTTTAATTCAGATGTGATGACTAAAAACCTGTTTGGTCAAAATCGCTGGATGAGGCCAGCTTATTACAGGCTAATATTTTTGTAATTATCTTAATTACTAGAGCTGGTACAAAACAAAATAAACAAAAACTGGATTTCCTATCCCTTGAGAGAACCCCCCCAGGACTTTGACATTTCATTAAATCTTGAATTGGGCAGAAAAGCAGGAGTCTTGGAATCTTTGCAAAACAAAACATTCAAAAATACTTAATGTTAACTCAATCTGAGTTTTAGATTTCCTGTCATATTTTAACAAAAATATTATCCTCCTGAAAAATGTTTTATTTTAATTTACTCAGCATTTTCTAATGGATTAAAAAAACTGCTTTTGTAATTTTGTTTACCAACTCTGTGGGTATATCTACATGTGATATTAATGCAAATAAATAAACTCCGGTGCACATTGTACCAAAGTTTATTGCTCCCAGGAGCCACATCTTCACGTGCACCTGGGACTGCAGCATGTTGAGCAGGGGCAGAGCAGCCCTGGCTGGCATGAGGCCTGGGGGATCAGCCTGCCAGCCTGGGGCTGCTCTGACCCCGCTCAACGTGCTGTGGAGGGGCTGGCTGGGGCACATGGGTGCTCCAGTGTGGGGCTAGCTGGCAGGCAGTCCTGCAATGAAGCACCCTCATGCCCCAGCCAGCCCTGTCAGTGTCTACACATGCATTGCTGACCACTAAAGAATGCTGCTGAAGTATAGTACTACTTCTATTTACAAGTACTAACCTGTGGTGGAGTTAATTAATTTCCTGTGGCCTAATAGGGCCTCACATGTAGATAGTTAGACTTTACTGTGGAGCTACTTAGGCAGCTCCACAGTAAGTATCTTGTGTAGATATGCCATGTTAGATTTTAAGGGTATAGACAAATACAAGAATTGCAGCAATATCAAATGAGACCAATATGGACCATTGCAATGTAGCAGTACAACTGAAGCAAAGCCATTGAAACTTTAACTCTGTTTCATTAAGGGTTAAAGTTGCAGAGTTTTAGTGAACTGGTACTGACATGGGATTATGCGTTTGAACACTTAACACTTAAATCGTAACAGCTGAGCATGCCCTTGTGTGGCAACTACCTCTCCTAATTTAAAATGCTTAAAAGTTACTTTTGTCCATAGTTTTAGCGTCATAATAGTCATTGCTTATGGGGAAAGTAGAGGATCCTTGTCTGAGTTTTTAGAAAAGATGTATGGTGAAAAGGATCAGTGAGTGCATAATCTTACAAAAACAGCTGAAAGCATGGGCAACTGTACTGAAGAACAATGCAAGCATGAGAATTCAAGGATGGAACTTATTTTCTGGTGCTTTGATTGACTTCCCAGCATCTACAGAGCCTAAGATCTGAGGATCCATATTTGGATCTCCTGAGTATGCAATATTCAGCCCTTTTCTAGTGCTACTGATATTTTGAATAGTTTGAGTGATTTTATACTCTGAAGAAAACAATATTTCAACTATTAAGGTGTAACATATTCAAATGGATTTGTTCAAAGTAATTGTGCATATAAAGGACAGTGACAATGACTGTAGGCCTATATAGTCTTTCCTTACCTATATTAACAGCATAAGTATTTTATTACAGTGATAGAAAGATAAAGGGTTCTTTTTTCTGAAGTCGGTTAATATTATGCCTTTTACCCATCTGCATTCAGATAATAGAATAACTAAGGAATCAATGTTAACAGTAGTTAGGCACCTTGAGCCAACAATATAGATTTTAGTTTGGCTACAGATATGGGAATAAGTTGGCTGAAGATTAAATGTGCTCAAATCTTTCCACAAACAGAGCTGTACTGGGAATGCAAGGCTGTGAAGAATCTCAGTTGTTTTCCACTGGTTTATTTGAATGTAGATTTCTGCTACTATAAGGAGATTCTAATAGTGAATTTCCTTGATGGCTCCATCCTACTTACTATGGTGGGAAGAAATTTAAAAATATCATTACTAGGCTCACTTTGTTTTATGAACAGGTCAGTATATAGCACATTACTATCTTAAATAGTTCCAAATGGTTAAACATGTGTCTTGGAAACGCACAGGAATGAAACAGTTATAAAGAATGATTGTACAAGGCTAGGTTTCTGTTATTTCTTTCTTAGTGCTCAATGGGAAATCAGATCAACACCTTACAGAGCTGAAAATGAAGTTACTTTGATTTTAAATGCCCATTTCTAAAGATCATTATCAGACTTCAGGAATATTTAAATTTCCTTTCGGGATCACAACTTTGTTTTCTTAAGCTGAAATTCCGAACAAGGCTTTTTTTGACTGCATCGCTATGACTTACAGCCTACACTTATTTTAATAAGGGTCCTGCTGTTAGAACTTTTCAAAATACTTCTCAACTGCTCTTCAGCACTGTTTTTTTTGCAGTACTGTAGCCCAGGAAATAATGTGCCCTTTGTTCTTTTTCAATGAGCCACAGAACACCTGATATAATGGCCTAGAATTTACTTGACAGCAGCTGGGGTGGCAGAGGAGGGCTATAAAGCCCCCAGAGTTCTGTATATAACAAGATATAAAACCCCCAGGGCTCTGTACTGATCTCTTCTTTCAAATCTTCAAAATTTTATTCTAAGAATGAACTAAGACTGTGAGAAAATTGGGATGTGTTTTTTTGGTATCACTTTATCCTCTGAAAGATGAGAAGCGAAAGAGGAATTGTTTTATTGCAGAAAAGATTTGGCAGTTTTGTTGTTTAAGTTCATAGGAAAGCAAGTTTCATCTCAATTTTCGAAGCTAAGATTTAGTTTAGAAAGATGACATACAATCCGAACTGTCTGAAGAGCTTCATGAATAGTCAGTGCTATCCCAAGGTCTACAGCACCATAACCACCCCTAGCAGGTTATGCAACTAACAAAAAAAATCTCCAGGTGAGAAGCTAAAGAGCCCCATGTACCTTGAGAGCTGCTGACTGAGTATTGCTGATGGGTCATGGATCTAATCATGTTTTCTCCTGAACTTTTCCCTGATGACTTTAAAAGCTGATGTACTAAAAGGATCCTGTTTTGCAGCATGTACAGTAGAGAGGATTCTTTCAGATATGTCTACCTCCTGTTCCTCAGCCTAATGGAGATCTTGGTTGGGGCAGTTTGGAAGAGTGGCAGAAAGGAAGTCCTCAGAAAAAACAGTTTAATGCGATTTTTAATTTCTTTAAACTTTCCTTGAGTGAAGAGCTACAATAAATTTTAAACTAATTTTTCACTTAGGACAATATTATGGCCTGCATGGAAGGGACGGGCAGAGTAGAAAGTTGCAATGTGGCAGTGCTCTGTAGTAGTAAAAGTCATTTGGGTTGACTTAGGCAAAGGTCTCTGAGAGCAGAAGCTTGGTAACATGGGGTGTTGCACATATTACAAACAAGCTGCCCAAAGGCTGGCTCAGATTTTCTGGCTGAAGGAGAAAGACTGTCCTTCTTACCTCTTTGGCCATGTCTCTACTGCCTCTCTAATGAGCCTGGGACCACTGCTGAGAATCAAGACCTGCCCATTTGCTCCTACTCTTTGCATGACCAAGCAGAGTTATTAGGCAGCATAGACATCTTAGATTGGCCCTGAGTTTACACTGGTAAACATGCCTGACACGGAGCAACTGAGAGTGATACTGGGGCATGTACTTGGGACCGCTCTAAGATATTTACTATGCCCAACTAACAAGCTTGAGTGAATATGGACTGGGGGAAAAGTGGGTATTTTTGTTTGTTTTTCTACACAGATTCACGTATTCACAGAAGTTTAGGGCTGGAAGGAACTTCATGAGATCATCAGGTCCAGCCCCCTTGCTCTGGGCAGGACAGACTGCTGGGGGGCTGCTGCAAATAGCCCCAGCAAGGTATGTGTCCAGTCTCCTTTTGATGATCTCCAAGGTAGGTGCCTGCAGCACTGGGAAGGACTTCCCACACTGGGAAGTCTATTCCAGGGTCTGGTCATATGAACTGTGAAGAAGTTTTTCCTTATATCCAGTCTGAAACCTTTGTAACAAACCCCTGCAGTGTCAGGCACAATCACTACAGCCAATGAGGGATCTACCTTATATTGAGTGTCCTAGGGGTTAAGGTCACAGGCTGACAGAAAGGGACATAGGCAACCAAAGTACAACAACATATACTTAGAGGGCAAGTAAATAGGTAGTGGTCAGTACTGCTGGGGTACATGCATTCAGCACATAAAGTCCCATGCCCACTGCTGGAGGTGTCCCCAAGAACCAGTCTTTAGTCCAGAGTTGCTCTGTGCAAGTCTGTAGGTCGGGGATCATGTGCAGTCAGTCTGTGGCTCCCCTACGCTGTGCAGAGGTTTCACTCTCCTTCAGTCCATCTCGCAGAAGGCACCATGGCCCCCAGGCACCCTGCCTTATTGCCAGCCAGGGCTTAGAGGTATCCCCCCTTCCCCAAGGTTTTCTGGGATTTGCAGTCCAGAAGCAGGGCTCTGCAGGGTTTTTTGTCACTTCTTCCTGCTTCCAGGTGCCTCTGGGATTTGTAGTCCATGGTCAGTCAGCAGGACTCCACAAGGTTGCTCCCCTTCTGTCACACACTCATACCACATTTTCAGTGCACACAATGCATTACATTACACAATGCATACATTATAATTTCTTCAGAGGGTGTTTATAAGTGTTGCTCCTGGTTTTCCCCTGGAGTGCTTTGGTGAATAGTTGTTCACCTAGCCCCTGATGCTCTCCCCTGATATATTTGTAAGCTGCCACCAAATCCCCCCCGAAGTCTTTTCTCTTCTAGGCTGAACAGTCCCATATCTATCAGCCTTTCCTTGTATGACTTGCTCTTCAGGCATCTAATCATATGAGTGGCTCTTCTCTGGACTCTCTCAAGCTTCTCTACATTCTTCTTGAAGTGTGGCGCACAGAACTGGACACAGTAC